ATGTTCCAAAATAGGGGTTTTTTCTGAAATTTGGCCCCATGTAGATGGACCAAATTTCAGAAAAGCCTCTTTTAGAAAAAAAGCAGAAAAAGATACGCAAATTGCAGTCTACAATTTGCGTATCTTTTTCCAATTTTTCTCGGCGGTCTAGACATTGTCTCATTGAGTTAAAACAGATAAAGTGAAACCTAAAACATGCACAGAGTGAAACCAAAAAGCTTGCTCAAGTGGATCCCCTGTAACTCAGTTGATCAATCAAAACTGACAATGAAAAAAAAACTAAACAAAAACAAATAAAAAAAGACAGAAAATGAAAAATGAAAATTAAAAATGTTAAACAATTATATTTGTTTCAAAACATAGAAAATATTGAGGTTATTAAAATATTTGAATGACAATAACCACATTTTAAATAGTCATATTTTCAATCCTCCAGCCCCATGTTTTCCTCAAAAAACATGATCAATTGTTGAACAGTAAGTGAGATTAAGAGCTGCTTAAACATGTTGGATCAACAATGACACTAAGTTATCCCCTTCTCTGCTGCACTCTTTTGCCCAAAAGTATGGTGCAAACCTTTTGACGTGCCTATGTTCCGTGGTAATATGTGAAACAGCACCCAAGAACTGTTTGCCTTGGGCGCTGTTCCACATATTACCATGGAACATTTGAAAGTGCATTCAACAGCATGCAAGTGGTCAAAATCACATTTTAAAACATTGCCGGAATGATGTGAGAGAAATATCAACTGTTTTAGAGACAAACTTTAAGAGACTCAGCTTCAGCTTCAATTCCCCAGCATCTGTCAGTTTGTTTCTCAGCCTTCAAATAACAAGGACTTACATTTAGGATTCTGTCTTCAAGATTTCAATGCAATGGAAAATAAATTCAAATTTAATCTCATTTCACTGTTTAGAGAAAAATTGACCAAAAATTATAATGGATTCCAATCCATTATATTCATGTATATGTTGCCATAGACACAACAAAGACATTTTTCAGTATTGTAGTGAAAACTGCAGTGACTGAGTGATTTTAATAAACCATAGTATTAAGCATGTGCTGCAGTATAATAGATTTTTATTTCACATGAATATGCCTTGGTTAAAGTCTACTTATCAAGTGCAGGAAAATAATACACTTTTTCCTGTTATGAAAGTAAAAACAGAAATATCAAACATCCTAAAATAATTGACATTCAAAGCAGAAAATAAATATTTTATACTTCCTGTGAGCAATAAGGTTTTGCTGTTATCTGTCTTGAAGTGCTATTCCCCTTCCTACAGTGTCTGAAAGAACATGGTTGCCCTCCCAGGAATGTAAACTTGGCACTCCCTCCTAAGCTCTTTTATTTAACATTAACTCACTCCCATAATATTATTGTAAAGTAAGGACGGCAGTTTTATTTACATAAGGTAACATTATAAAAACAGACATTAAACAAGGAAAATCTTGCACCAAATAAACATGCGTAAAAAAATAACGATGCTGATCTTCCTTTTGGGAACTCTCCTGGGAAACAACATACCATTCCCCAAATTAGGGCAGGGTTGTTAATATACCTTCTTCTTAATGTTATATACCCATTTCTCTTTCCTAATATACCAAATTCGTCTGGAAGTTTGATGTTTCCCATCTAAATTGAGAAATGTCTTAAGTTCCAGAAGGAAGTTTTAAAACATTCTACAGTAGAAAGAACCACACAGAAGCATAGAAAATGACCTCATGAGGTCATTTTGTCCAACCCACTGCTCCAAACAAGACCAACACCAACTAAATCATTCCAGCCAGGGCTTTGTCAAACTTGGTCTTAAAAATAAGGAAGGATGGAGATTCCGCCACTTCCCTAAGTAACCCAACGCAACCCCTGTTAACATTTCAAACTTGGTCTTAAAAATAAGGAAGAATAGAGATTCTGCCACCTCCATAAGTAACCCAACGCAACCCCTATTAACATTTCTCAAAAAGGCTGACCATCCTGCATGTGGATATGGTAATCTACATCATGAGCATATGTGCCACTGGTGCACAAAGAAAACAGTCTTCCTCTTGACTAACTTCTCACACGTGCAATCTTTCCATTATCTAGAAATAGGGGAATTCCCAAACTGGAAACTCTCTCTCCCAAAAGGTGTAGCTGTGATTTCCTCTTTGGATGTTTGTAGTTTTTGCTGGGGAACCTTGGGATTTCAGGGTCTTGGGGGGCATTTCCTATTGGCATTTCCCTGAAGCTCCCCAATGGTTTGCTGCAATCTCAAGATACCTGTGCATGGCCTGTCTTGTTTTGCCAGTCCAAGGCATAGTGCCCATCTCTCCCATAATTGTAAAGGAAAAATTTAAAAAACAACAAATAGACTAGTAGCACCTTTAAGACTAAGAAAACATGTAAATGGTAGCATGAGCTTTCATGGGCACAACCCACTTCTTCAGATGACAGGAGTATTAGAAGTCCAGATCCAAGAATAAATAAAGGACAGGTGTTTGTCTTTGTTTGTGGGATTGGAGCAAATCTTAGGGCTTGGATGTATACAGTTGTAAAGGAGACATTCTCACAGGCGACCACCCCTCCTGCTACTGTCTCCTCTTGAGCATGGCACAGAGGAACCCCCTCAGAGGAGCCTCCTGTGCCTTGATTACAGATACTTCTTCGGTCAAATCTCTCAGCAATGCTGCTGCTGAGGGGACCTCTTCCTTCTCACTGAGCACGGTGCTGGAGTGACTCCCTGCCTCCTTTGACTGTATCACTGTATCCGCTTGTAATAATCACTCCTCCTCTTCATTTATCTCTTGAATGAGATTGTGGAATGGGGGTGGGTTTGGGACCTGCTCCCTCAGCTGCAGTCCCTACAACATCAATCCATCTTTTTGAATGCCCTAAAGGATCTGGTCCAACCTCACACAATCAGTGTGCATGGTGGGGATTCCTTACACACTACCTGCTGAAATAAATCTACTTTTCTAATGAAGCCTGACAGTTGTTCGTGGGGCTTCTGATAGGTATGGCAGAAATGATAATACAGGTCTTTACCACTATAGTAGTACCATAGACACTTTTAAGAGCCAAATAATCTTGCATCATTGTAGAGGGTTGGAAGTCTTTCAGGAATCAGCCAGTTTACATGGCAGAACTCAAGCTCATGTTTCTGCTTCTCAGGATCAGAGCATTCCCACTATTGGACAAGGGAAACAGCAAAATCCATTCAGGTCTCAATCATCTGCCCTCTCCCCCCAAGGTAGAGGAAGGAAGAATGTAACCACTTCTTTATCATGCACTTTCATATGCTGGCTTCAATGCATCTTTGAGGACATTCCCCAACTATTTGGCTCCTTCCACCAGGATGGGTGCTGCAGGTGTTGGAGCCTCTCCTAATACATGGTCTGGCAGCCTCAGGACCTAATTGGTCCTGGATGAGGAATTTTGCTGGACCATGGGAGGTCATTTCCACTCCCCTGCCATGGGCTCCCCCCAGCCATGTCCTGGCTACCAGCCACCTGGCCGGTTCCCCATTGCCGCAGGCCCCTCCACACCCCCCCCCCCCCCCCCCCCCGAGTTCAGTTGCACTGCATGGTGGCAGCCCCCCTCCTGAACTCCAGCCCCGCCGGGAAGCCCTGAAGCCTCCTGGCTATTCCGGGTAGCTCTGCCAGGAGGCAGCAGGACTGCTGGGCTCCTGGCTCCGTCACTGGGTAGTAACCCTGGTCCTGAGCTCCTCCATTCACCACTGGAAAGCTTAGCTATCAAGCTCTTAGCCCCACTGCCAGGCAGCCTCCAAGTCCCACCGGGCAACTGCAATATTCAAAATACCACACTGAAGTAACTTGGAAATGCTAACTTTTAAAATGGTGACCCCTGGATAAAAAGTGTATTCATAAGTGTTTTGATAAAAAGCTGAAATTGTCCTCAGAAAACAAATACTTTCTGTGAAAATTTTCATTATGTCAAAACCCAATTTTTCTACTGAAAAACAGGTTTTTTATAGAAAAATTTTGACCAGTCCATTTTCCAAGTAGCTCTAAAAAAGCATCTTTAAAAACAAGCCTATCAGTGTTCTAAATTCCATGTCCTCAGCTAGACTTTTATTTTTTAATGAAAAAACTAGGTTTCTCCCTCACTTCACTACCATAAATCAGACTGAAAATTTGAGAGGGGGAGTTGCAAGATCAAAAACTCCAATATGTATCTATGACCCTCAACAGACTTTGAGATCTCAGTAAGGCTTAAAAGACCCACATCTCAAAACCTACAGCTAGTCTGCTTTCTTCAGGCAGCCAGGATTTATCGCACGTGGTGACAAGCTGCCAAAAATAATTCAAAAAGAGAGGAAGGGTGAAACGACAAGATAAAGGACTTAATAAACATATGGATAACAGTGAAAATCTATCAAGTGGTTCTTCATTTCTAATAATATTTTTTAACAAAGGCATTTTTCACAGCACAACACAAATATTCATAAATTGTTTTGTTTTTTCTAACGGGAAGACAAGTGATTTAGTTTAATTTTTTGTTCATATGGGGACTTTGAGCAGTAACAAGCAAATCCAAATTGTCTGCAAGGAGCCACTTCCTGTTAGGGTTTGAGATTTCACCCTAACAGTTAAGAAGAAAGGATATTGCAAATTGCTATCCCGATTCTATCAGACTGGAGACAACTAGGACAAACAAACTCAGGAAGTGGCAGGGAGTTCGAAAGCAAGAGGAAATCTATGGCACAGAGAGGAAAGTGAAGCGATTGCACTGATCTGCAAAAAAGGTCACCCCTAGGTCAGAATGTGCCAAGCTTTTAAAAAAAGCTTTATTTGTACTATAATACAGAACTGGCACACACAGCTGGCAGTTGCTGCAGAGACTATTCAAATGTTAACATTCTGAATGATAAACTGCCAAAAAAAGTTCTATGTAAGCAAATTGGAACAAACAACTAATCTAAATCTGGTTGCTAAGAGACAGAGGATTTCAGCCAAATTCAGCCCCAAGAATACTTTATTCTTAATCAAAAAAGTACCTGTAGATGACACCATGTTGGTGGAGAAACATGAGTGCTGATGTGACTTCTGCAGCATAGAAGCGGGATCGAGGCTCATCAAATTTGCGTGAGCGCTGAATTTGAAACATTAGATCTCCTCCATTTACATATTCCATGACGAAAAAGAGGCGGTCCTGAAATTAATTAAAACAGTGCTATTTAGCTAATTTATTTTAGCCACACAAAGGGCTGCTTTAGCTACACATTAAGCAACAGCAGGATTTGCGTCAAGAAACTGAAGAAACAAACGCTACAATTCTGAACTGAAGAAAGCTGACAAAAAAAAGCAAGGGAAGACTGAATCAAGAAAGAATGAGCAAAAGAGAGAAGGAAATTCAAACATAATTAACATGTAATAAGGATTATTAATCAGCTTTGTATTTTAAATAAATATTTACATGATGTTTAAAAACATTTAAAATAAACATTATAAGACAAGTTGATTCTGTCAGCCGCTGAAGGGCAGCAGGATGATTTTGCAGGTTATCTGTCCACCTGGCTCCTTATCCCCAGGGCTCGCCGAACCGCGGCGAGCCCCGCTCGCCAGCCGCGTTGTCTGGTGATCTGTGCATGCTCAGATCGTTCTGCGCATGTGCAGATCGCCCGAACCCGGCTCTTCCGGGTTACAATCTACTCGCTCGTAGCGAGTAGATTGTATTATTTGTCGAGCCCTGCTTATCCCTATATATTATCAGCCACTCTCAGGCTACGGCTAGACTTCATCCCTCTGTTGACAAAGGGATGTGGACGAAGCACATCGAAATTGCTAATGAAGCCGGGATTTAAATATCCCATGCTTCATTAGCATAAACATGGCTGCTGTTTTTTTTCTACACGGAATTTTGTCGACAAAAACAGCAGTCTAGACGCAGATCTGCCAACTATAACCCTTTTTCGACAGATCCTATATTCCTCAAAAAATGAGGTTTACAGGATCTGTTGAAAAAGGGTTTATTGTTGACAGATCCGCATCTAGACTGCTGTTTTTTCTCAACAAAAGTCTGTGTCAAAAAAAAAGCGGCAGCCATGTTTATGCTAATGAAGCATGGGATATTTAAATCCCAGATTCATTAGCAATTTCAATGTGCTTCATCCGCATCCCTCTGTCGACAGAGGGATGCAGTCTAGATGTAGCCGCAGTCTATAAAATACCTTTTTTCCAATGTATAACTTCACAATGCATATTACTAATAATTATGTATATAGAAACTAGTATTGCCAGCAGCAAACATCAAGAGTAAGGCTTTCATAAAAATGATAAGATTAGCCTAAATATAATTTGATTTTAATCTATTTGGGGTTCTTTTTAATTGTCTTCTGGTTCTTGAACCTTCAGAGTTCATGTTTTTATAGTTTTCTCTTATAGCCATGATGGGAAGAATCCCTCTTCATTTTCAGTAGCAACTGCCATTCTCACACAGTGACATGACTTTACAAGCTGGGTCTTTCAAAAAAACCACCAAATATTGTAAGAGTCACAATATGAAATAGTAGGAATTGGCAGCACTTGGAAACCAAATATGCATTTTAATTGTCCCTGACCCAAAGACCTTACAACACAAACAGATATTGAAGATCAACAACTAAAGGCAAATAATATGATATACACATTTTATTAATCTTTGTACTATTTTCTCCAAAAGTCTTTTGCCCATCTTAACTCTATTAGTGTAATCCCTGCCTTTATGCTTTCTCCTTTTGCTTGTAACTCTATTTTCAGATTTTTTATTAATATTAAAATATGGCTTGCTATGCATACAGTCTAAAACAGATCACACATTTAATAGATTAACACTTTTTAATGGACTAATCTTATTCAATGTTGTTGGTCTCAAAACTCGTCAATTGATTGTCTTCAGTGATCTGCTCTCAAGCCCAAAATCAGTAAAGCACTTAAACTCCACTGACTTAAATTAAGCATGTGCATAAATTCTATCCTGAATACAGAGGCTTTCCTGAAGGGGACTTGAAACATTTGGCTAACTCAGTAAAGGTGACAGGTGGAGGATGTGGGGGAAGAAAATGAGTTGGCCCCCAACCCAAAAAAGGATCCCCACTCCTGCTCTAGAGAAAGGATCTGCTCAATCTGGACAGGCCATAAATCTACACTAAAATAGGGACATGCGTTCACATCTATATCAAACTCTGTTTGAGAAGTCTAATTACCTAGGTATTTTTCAGTTCCCATCGCTATAGTACCAGCTAAGAAAAAATGTACTTCTAGATATTTCCATTAAACCTTCAGCACCCACAATTTGGGTTCCTAATTCTTAGAATAGGTTTATTATTTATCATCTCCTATGTTTTCTCCAATTTTACCCTCTCTCTGTCTCTCTCAGGATGAGATCCTGGGCCTAATGAACTCAATGGCAAAATTCCCATTGACTTAAATACAACCAGATTTTCAACCTCATAGTTCACTTCCCTGTACAGAAGCTGAGGCACATATGAGAACACATCATTCATCAGATGTGTGTTCAGGATTTATTCAAACGTTAAAAAGAAAAGGATACAAAGTAAACAGAACAAAGTATTGTACAGTATTTAGAACAATTAAGTATTAGACGTGGTCCTTATTAATCAGTTTGTTCCAAAATTCATTAGGAGTATATTTGGGATTCCATAACATTTGAGAAGTATGTTTTATTAACAAAATAAATGTGAAGCAATCCTGGGAATTATTTATTACATCAACTGAAATAAAAGGAAAGATCACAAACAAGCCATTATATATTAATGGCCTTTTGGAATCTGTTATGCAAAACAAACAAACAAAAGCAAAGGTCTGTAAAATAAACAAACATGTTTTTGAAGTAATTCAAGGTTTTTTAAAAATGTTTTTGTTTTTCCATTAGTCTAACCTTCTCTCCCTTGAATTCTAAGATGTTATGGTTGAATGAAAACACTTAAAATAAGAAATGAAAACACAGACCATGGGAACCAGTGTCTTAGGGCAGAGATGATTTGGGTTAAACAGTCTGGAAGACAATAATAAAAACTTTCAACTTTAATTTGTATTCCCATGATACTATAGCGTTTCCTTTGGTTTCAGCTACATCTCTTTTGATAACTTGCAAATCTGCCTGTCATCTGCATACTGAAGGTCGGTGATGCCAATTCCTGTGATCTTAGATTTTATGTGGAGACATTGACGATTGAGGAGTTGGCCATCCATATGATACTCAGTCCCGATTCCATTAGGAAGGTGGTCACAGATGGGAATCAGGATCACTGCAAGATAAATGGGAAGATACTTAAAGCAATAACACAATTCTGCTTGATACCATGATGAATGGTTTGGTTTCTGAGCTGTTGCACAGGAATATGTGAATCATTCCATCCTGGAATAGTCTGATGATGAATGAATTTCTGTGGACTTCCAAACCTACACAGCACCTTCCGTAGGGGCATCACAACTGATCAAGTCAAAGGGCTTGGTTAGATTGAGAAATGCAATGAACAGCTGCTGGTGTTGCACTCTGCACTTCTCCTGAATCTATTGTGTCACAAAGATTATGGCCTGAAGTCACACTATGATTCAAGGAGAAGTTCCTCATCAAGGGTGAGAAGGCTGTTTAGTAGAATCCAGGCAAGGATTTTCTCTGCAACTGAGAGAAGGGCAATACCTTTCCAGGGCCCACAAAGATTTGTCCCCTTTCTTGAATATTGTAACAATGTTGGCAATCTGAAAGTCAGGTGGAATTTCTTCAAAAGTGCAGATTTTGTTGAGGAATTGGCAAAGTTTGTCCTGGATCATTGCTCTACCATCTTTAAAAATCTCAGTTGGGATTTCATCTGGGCCTGGTGTCCTATGATTTTTTTTGTCAAGGTGATGGCACGTTGTACTTCCTCAAAAGACGGAGGATTAGCAAGGTGTTCCACTGCTGAGCATTGTAGAATAGACTTGATGTCTTCAGAGACTGAAGCTTAGTGGTTTAGTAGGCTCTCAAAGGGCTCCTTCCAGCATTATTTAATGGCCTCTCTGTCCTTGAGGAGTGTGGAACCATCCTGGGAAAGTAAGGGGGTTGGGCCTTTAAAGCTTGGCCCATATATAGCTTTTGTTGCTTAAACGAAGATTCTCATGTAATCCCAGAAGCTTTCTCTTGCCACCACTTATTTTTTATGTCACTTAGCCTCCTTAGAGGAATAATTTCACCAGTTAAAGAATGCAGTTGTTTTCTGTTGAATTAATGCCAGGATTTCCTTGTTGTTTTTGTCAAACCAGTCTTGGTGCTGATGAGCGAAATAGCCTATAGTTTCAGTACATGCTCTGTGAATGTATTTTTCAGTTGATACCAGTGCTCTTGATTGCCAGTGTTGTTATCAGGCAAGGTGGAGAGTTTCTCAGGCAGGTATTGCTGTAATGTCTCTCACAGCTGGCTTGCTCTTGAAATGCTTTGATGATAAAGCCTCCTGGCTGTCTCACTCTCATCTTATGCTCCTCTTTGGGCAAAACCAAAATCCTTCACTTTCTTCTCAATTATCCTCTTTCTTTGTCACCTTCAGTACCATAACCTTCCTCTCAGCCAGTAAAGCCTGTCAGCTGAGGCTATATTTGATTCAGCCTCTCTCATCCCACTCCTTCAAGCTTTGTACAAATCCTACCTCTTCACTCTCCTCAATATTTCTACGATCTATCTTTTATTTTCTATCTCTACAACAAAAGCCTACATCCAAGTCATCATTATCTCCTGTCCTGATTCCCATCACCTTTTCCTCTCTACAGTTATAAACACCCACATTTGATTCTGACATATTTGGTTTACTTTTGGTCTTTATATGCTACTCTTGGTCTTTCTGCCCTCTCTTTCTCTTTAGACTAAGTTCTTTGAGGCACAGACCAAGCCTCCTTTTCTGTTTGGAACACTGTGGTCATCTCCAGAAATAGACAACAGTAATCATCTTTGAGGACACAATTGGGCCATCCTAGTTCATCTTTGAGGAAGTGTGACTAATGACTAAGAAAGTCTTAGCAGGGCTAGATAGTCTTGCTAATTAGTTTTGTGTCGATACATGATTCTCTATAACCTATTATTTGTTTATATGTGAAAAGATACTATAATGGGGAACAAACTTCCATGCAAATCTCAAACAAAAGCTGAGACTGGGAATGGCAGCTTTTGATGTATTGTTT